GGAATCTATTAAAATCTCCTGTCGGTTCCGTAACCTTTCACCCCTTATTTTCGATTGCTCAGCCCCTTCGACAGCCACCGCACCCCTTTCCAGCTGCCATCGTCCGGTCCTCCCGGTCGCTGGAAGTCAATCTCTTAAAAAGTTCTTCCTCTTCTTCTTCTTCTGCTTCTTCTTCTTCTTCTACTTCTTCTTCTTCTTCGTCGAGACTCGTCTTACAGAGTCAAACATAAATCAGATTACTTCGGGCTTGCGAGCCAACCACCTTCCACCTTGCCAACCCCCTTCCTACGCGAGCTGCGCGCTACACGAGACCACGATCTCATCTCCCGACCGCTTTTTCGACGCTTTCTCTTCCGTAGCGTCTCGCGCTGAAATGAAAATGTGGACAAAATAACGTGAAACCGTATGTACAACGACAGTTTAGAGTCTGTTGGCAAAGAAATGTGGGATTTCTTTGATATTGTTCGTATCTTTCCTTTTTTTTGGTGAAATTATGAATATAGTTGGGAAATGTTATGAAATTAGGAAATTTTCATGGACTTAAAGTATAATATTAAATGGTGAAATCAGATTACCTTATATGCAATTAAATACAAATTTATGAAGTTGATTAGTTAAAAATACAGCAAATTCCCTATTACATGTTGGCAGTAAAATTACATTTTTAAACTTTATTAAAATCTTTATGTCAGAACAGCTAGCATACCAGAAGAAGTTATAAATACCTGTAATCTAATTAGAAATTTATATTAAATTATTATATTGTAGAATAAAATGGTTTTCTTTTACATTAATAAACTAACACTTGATTTGGTCGAAATATTTTTCAGGCAGTTCGGTTCTGTGTTTAAGATTTGTTTGAGATCTAATTGAGACATTAATATTTTATTACAAAATACAAAATTGTTGAACGGGAGTACGCGAAATTTTAGTTATACGTAGTTTAAGATACACCGGCTGTGATTGAAGGATCTACATTTTGTTTGCGGCAGAGGGCGGTTAATGTAGCGTGAAAATATAATGGGGTGAATTTGAATGATATACGCAGCTGCTAAAAGTATGGGTGTATCACTTGGGACTTTACAGTATTATGAAGCATATTCGCTGATTTTGCGAGTTAAATTGCGAGTATATAATTTAAAAGCATTTTATGCATCTTCAGTTCTCACCCTCAATCTCACATTTTACAATTTATTCCGCGACTACGTTCGCAATTATTTTACTTTTAATAATTCTCTAGCAGTAAATTTCAATATTTTCAAGCATAAAATAATATTTCGCATCAGTTATTGCAAACTGAAAATTAAATTACTTATATTTTGAAAACACTTAAACGTTGAAAAGTGTACGTATATCTTATGAATATAAATGTTCCTTACCATAAACATTATTCAAAATTACCTCTTTGTTACATAAAATTTCCTTTTAGCTACTATTTTAAATACCTCACTTGATCACTAATATAAAAAAATCTCAGCCTTCTGTTTAAGAATTAGACTACGTTTTAGCCCGATTGATATAAAGAAATATTTAAAACGATCAAACTGTTGAAACGTTTGAACACCAATGCCCACTTTACAATATTTCGTTTTAGAACATTATTATATAACACGTGAAATAAATACGAAATATCATGAAAATTCCACAGAAGCTTCCAAACGAGTATCAATCGCAAGTCCGATCAACAATCCGTCCTCCTCAGTCTATGCAAACAATCACCGTTTCGCCGTAAGTGCCCTCGATCGTCGATTAAAGCGTACAAAAGGGGGGATGAAGGAAGAATACAAAGGGCAGTAAACAGCGGCGACATCGTCGTCGCGTTTGAACTCGCCAACGTCATTGCAATTCCGCGCATTCGACAGATAAACAGGGCCGGTAATCCCCGTGCCGAGTCCCTTCGCTTCAGCATTCTTTGTAAAATAAACAGGAAGGGGGATGAAATAATGGAACAGGCCGAACGGTAACGGCAACGTCGATAAAGCCACCGATGAAAAGGCCAATCGTCGGAGCGGTGGCCAAGGAAGAAATTCTCCGGCTCCGTAAATGCCAACTCGTATTTCCCATCAGGCTCTCTCCTCCGCCAATCGGCGAACACTTAAATTGACTAAATCCATTCCCCTCGCTCGATCTACCCCTCGCATCCTTCCCGTCCCCATTCAGTCTTCGCCGGTTTCCAGGACAGAAAATATTGGGTTTGCGCACGTGGAACTGTCGTTTCGAATTGGACAGTTTAAACGAAGAAAAAGCGGATTATTAGGTTGCCAAGGACGTCCTACCCCGGAGCCGTTGTTTTAGAGGAATGTTCGTTTTAGGAAGTGACGCGACGTTTTTATCTATTGTTGGGTCGATTTCTGGATATTATTTTGGTATTAATGTTTTCGTTGATCGTTGGACGTAATTTTACTGTTTTAATAAATATTTGGAACATATCTTTATTATTGGGCAATGTTCATATTGCAGTGAAAACGATTGTTTCAATTGGAAATGAAAATAGATTTGGTTGAATAGCAAACTATCGGAGAAAAGGAAGCGTTGTCAAAGTTGAGCATTCTTTTACTTAAAACTTCGATGAAACTATAATTCCACCAATTTTTAGGTAAAAACTTTTTTATTAAACCAGTTGAAACAACATTTTCACGAGATGAAATTTCGCTCATAATAGCTTTTAAGCATCATATAAAATCTCACGATCACATTCGCAATTTTTCTACTGAAATATCAAGCTTATTATTCCTATCAATCATAAAAAAAATGATCAAATGTTTTCGCAATATATATTCTTTCCACAAAACCAGAAAAAATTGCATACGTGTGACGGACAATTTCACGTGCGCAAACCGAACAATAGTTTTCAATGGAGAACAAACACAAAAGGAAAGTTTCGTTTTCCAATTGTCCCCACAGTCAATAATCGAGTCGATTATATATCGAGAGTAATACGCAAATATCGACGAGAAAAAGAGAGAAAGGGAAAATTCAGTGGATACACAGAGGGATAGCGGGTCAGGAAAACAAAGGAAAAAGTAGCGTGCAGCGGAAGTCGTCGATGTGAAATAATAGGAAGCAACGCTGCAATTGGAAAGTAATTAAAATCCCATCAAGCCGTCTCGAACTCCTGTTGCCGGGGCCGCGTAACTGCCTCCGATAGAATTAGCTTTTCGATTCTCATTATTTAGAGAAATTGCGACGCACCTCCGCCTTCCCGCCGCGGCTGTGCTCGACATTGTATGAAGCTCTGATTTCCTGTCGTCCCGTTGCCTCGACAGAGTTGGAAATTTGTTAATTAAAAGTCTGAAATGTCGAATTATTAGGTTTTACTAAGAATAACTTTGGTTTTTTGAACTTCGTTTTAGAGATGAATTATAATTAATACTTCAAAGATCGTATGCTATTTCTGCTATGCATTCTCCAGAACTAATGATTTTGACATTTAAAATTGATAAATATATTGAAATACTAAACAATTCATAAACTTGTTGAATTTATTAATAATTGTCAACAATAACATTTTTAACCCCTTTTCATGCAATATTTATTCAGACTCGTAATGAAGTTCTCAAACAGATGTTACAAAAATTAAATGTTACTGAATTATTTTGAGCTCAAATTAACCGGGTACTATACCTTTTTACCAACGTGACCAGCAATATGAATCTGTTATCAGCAGTCTTGATGTTTTATTATTGCGAATTGTGGAAAAATTTGACAATATTCTGAAATACTTATGATAGTCTCTAATTTAATATACAAATTACACTTTAGCCAAATTTTCATTTCCTTTTGCCATAGAAATTAAAAATCGTGGTGAAGTTTTGAAGAAATGAGATTTTCATTATTAATTGTTCTGTTCTGAAATAAAAGTGGATATAAATAAATTGAGAAGATTTCTTTATTTTTCGGCAATTTATTAATGAGTTTTAAAATATTAGTAACTACCTGTAAAACGAAAACGAAAAAAACCTTATACATAGTGTCTTAATTGTTAACGACACTTTATTACGCGTTTACTAATCATATGAACGAATATATTTTTATTTATTTGTTATAAACGATATTTTAGAGAAATGAAAGTTTGCTTTTAAAAATTAGGTTAGGAAAGAAAACAAATAATTCAATTTACATCAATAAAGTTGGCTTTAACGAGAAATATCGAGTCAAATCAGTTCTTGAACAATATTTAATTTTTCATCAGCTCTCAGGGAAATCCGAACTTTTAAAGATATTTGAAACACTCATCTTGTCATCGCTGTTTCTCGGTAAATCTTATTAAATGAAGTAATATAAGATGAACAGGTAATTAGATCAGGAAAATGAGGAATCTGGCAGATTGGTTTATACACCACTTTATCGTCGCTTTACGAACTATCAAATATTGATTCCTGTAACTTTCGATCCTGATATTTCTAGCTATACACTTAAACCCAAAAGTTTAATACCACCTAGCTAATTTTTGTCAAAACAACAATTCTTCGTCTGAAACAAAACGAATACATACAATAACGATTGAACTACAGATCTCGAACATCTTTTGTCAAATAAAATTCATTCTTCAAGAACATCTAATAAATATTTCATTTTATATATAATAAAATAAAGCATCAAATTTTACATAATCTCTAGAATCTTACATAAACAAATGCCTAGGAAAAGATAGAAGAATCTGTATTCCCAAATAGTACACCGTTTCTTCATAACGAATACTCCTAATATAAATTAAATTTGAACAAACTGCATTACTCAGTGCTATTTGTCAAATTTCTCAATGAATTAAAATCCACTGTATTCCGTTGAATCTTTAAGCGGTAACAAGGTTTATAGAATATACGCAATCCGAGGTACAAAAGCTCGCGCGTTGCTATTCGTTGTTCATCCAAAGAGTGCCGGGATAATGAAATATCTAAATAATTTTAAATTCGCCGGAACAATAGCGACCGGCCGCATCGCGTGTTGAATTTTCCTCCAAACGGCTGCAGAATGTCGGAATTTCGTGAAATTTTCAGACGATCCCATGGTGAACACCGATTTCCCGGTTAAGAGGTATACAGCAGTCCAGTACACCCAGCCAGCGGCCGCCATTTCTCCATTATCAAAATCTACCAGGCATCTGCTAGTACCAGAACCAGATCCACGGTATTATTACACTCACCGGGCCCATCAAGAAACCATCACGATCGACAGAGACAATTTAAAACACGGTAAAAGCCCTGTTTTCAATTACCCCGCCCGTTTTCACGGTACATTTAACAGACAGAGTGGTTCAATATTGATATTTACCTAAGATGAAAGTCCTCTTGTTCTCTTTATTTATTTTAATACGTAATCTCCGTCGCCTCCGTTATGTAATTTTGCGATCGATCGATGAATTATGATATTCTGTTTAAAGGAAAATAATGATGCTTGTTCAAAGGAAAAATATATTTTATTTTAAACGGATCCTTGTAGATCTCTTAAGTGGTTCACTTTAAATGAATATTTAGCCATTTCGTTATTAATACGTTGACCGCCACAAGAATTTTGAACGTTTTGTATAAAGTTACTTATTCTTTTATAACAAAGATAAATGGTATTAGAATTAATTATTAATGATTTCATATCATAGCTATTAAGTTATGGTATTATTTAATTAAACCAGCTTTCATTTTGTAATTGTTTTCAAGTAATTTGGTAGCTCCAATCATTGGTTATCACCATAGCGGTCAACTTGTTAACATACATGTTCATTAAATAGTCAACATTTTGTAACGCGTTTTTTTAGATATTGAAGCAGAGTGTGATATAATTTTAAAGTTAATAACTAGTGAATCGTGGTGAAAGAGAAGGAAAAAGCTTTGGTTATAAGATAATAAGATTAAAGTGTATAAAAATATTTAATTATAATTTGACCAGTTCACTATGAATCAGAATACAAGATAAAGTTGTATAATTTTTTATCGATTTATCTTGAATATTTAAAAACACAAACTTATGAATATTGATTGCAAAGTATGAATGTAAAGTACTAATTACTTATCGCTTGTGTACAGAATGCAACAGAATTTGTAAAAGTAACAATCTTTAACCAATCTATTTCGAATTGGAAAAGATTGTTTTCAAACTTTCTTATTAACATTCCCAATTTATATACTTTAACCATTCCTATGTATTTCGTCTAATGATCTTAACTTATATAACGCTTCTGATGAAACATTAACCTTCTCGCAACGTGTAGATCCTAACAAAATTTGGTCCCTCAGTGTAACAACATAGAAATGAACATTTATTTCTTACCAAAGGATAAACCCGCACGTACATAACTAACGTAATAGTAGAATTGTTCCAACAGCGTACACTCGTCCCTCCATATACGCGAATTATGCATTCCACGTAGATTCGTTTTACGCAAATGAAAATCGCGTGAATAGAGTTTATGGATAGAGAAGAAAGCGGACTATTGGAAAGAAAAGCTGGTATAAGTTCTACATATACATAATTATTTCACATAGCTTCACAAAAAATTAATAACAATAACATTTCAGAAAACAAAAGTAAATTTTCTTCGGTGCCACTAAATTCATATCACGTAAATAGTGTTATGATTTACCGCGTAAATGGAGAGACGGATGTATCACAAAACAAAAACACCATATTACTCCATCGAACAGCCTACTTTATACAGATAAACGTGAGGAAGACGTTCATCGGGAGCATTGCCTTCCAATAACAGCTTCGTAATTCGTTTGCGATAACATTCTCGGCGTGACGTAATTAATAGTTCGAAATAGCGACGGATCGTGATAACGAACTGGCTGTGTATGCGCGCGTACGTGTGTCGCTTTGAATCGTGCACTCTAAATCGGCTTTGCGGTTAATTCTGGATCAGCTCGACGTCGCCGATCGGATCGATACCGTTCCGGACGCAGAACATACTCTTCTCACAGGAAACGGCTCGTGAGCATCGATTTGTCGTTAACGATACGGTTTTACAGGTGTAGCGGCCGCGTACCGACCGACTCCGGCGACAATCCGCGTGGTCACCCCTTTACTCGGCGATCTCTGCACCGACGATAAGGACTGCACCATTCCCAACAGCGAGTGCTCCAATGGCGGGTGCATTTGTTCGGAAGGCTACGCAGAAACCAGCGACAGACAGGAATGTTTTGGTGAGTAATTAATTATCAGTATTCTGTTTCTCCACAGAGGTTTTTAGTAATGTATAGGGTAACATCACCTAATATGGAACATCTGATTTGAAAAGCTTGCCGAAACGAGAGACATTCATATTTTTGCAATGAAACCTGCATCAAAATACGAAAAAATGAATAAACATTCATACACTGATCGGAAACAATGCAAAAATTTAAATGCCTTCAAATCATGGTAAAAAATGTAAATAAAGTGAAAATCTGGAAAAATCTGAAAAATTGGATCCTAGTATGAAACACTATAAATTATAAACAAAAATTATTTTAATCACGAGAAATGAATATTTATGGAATTAAAAAGGATAAATAAACGAATTTTCTTGAATTTATATTATGTTAATTTTTTCTTTTTTTTCTTGCATACATATATGAATTGATATGAACACATCGAAACTACTACATTCTTCATAAACACAGTCCATTGTATATATTTTTTCCATTATTATTATTTTTATAGTTGTCATCATAAAATAAAAATATAACATAATAATATGTAACATTAACAAAGAATGTGTACCCAATATGAAACATGTTCCATATTAGGAACACACATATTCCGATAGAAAAATAATAACTATTTTAAGAAGAAAATAAATTTGTAGGAAATTGCTTTCAATAGTGAAAAAGAAACATGCTTAATGATAAATCATGAAGAAAATAAAGCTTTTTGGCTAATCTATATTAAGAAATTTGATTACTTAACTCGTCGTTCAACAAATTTAATGTACTACCAAATACAATAATGCTTCACATGCAATGACAAATTCTTACTTAATGTCGAACTATTAATATGATTATTTTCTATTACTAATGAAGTGTCTTCCATGGTAACTGACACGTTAAATTATTTATTTTCCAAAATATTGTAGTGTTCCATGTTAGGAGTTGTTCTATATTAGACATCGTTCTTTTACAGGAAGATTAACCCAAGATGTTTCACTTTGGAACTTAAGTCAGTATTACTAAATTTGACTGCACATCAATGTAGCATTTTAATCTAAGAATCTTCGAGAAGTACTAAAATTACATTTCTACATGACGCGATATTAAGAATAATTATAATAGAAAGTGATGAAATATGCAGCTGTTCAAATGAAATTGATCAAGTCTACCTCTAAATGAAAATATTAAATCAGGGATAAGTGTTCCAATTCAGAAAAGAAGTACGTTTATTCGAAAGTAGAAATCTCTGTAAATCTATTTAAAAATCTTATTTTTTCCAAAACACATCGAATCAAATGAAAGAAACATTTATAACAATAAAATGAAAAGTAAAAAATAAGGCTATTCCATTTTAATATTTCACAATAATTATAACCGTGTTGTTCATTTTCAAATGATCCAGCCTACACTGTTAACACGAAAAATCGTGTTCTCGTCACATCCATTCTCGATATCTGGATTTACATTACCAACCTTTAATTAAAGATTAAAGAATCGCTTCCTGCGTACCAGGAACACACGTTGCTCCCAGATCCTCGGAAGGAGTGAACGAATCTAATTAACCCTGTTTCCAGCTAATTACGCGCCGGTCACACCGACCGAAGAGTTCCGTGCCTGCCTGTCGTATCCGTGTCACGCGACATCGACCTGCATCGACCTGCCCAGCACGACGTTCGTCTGTATCTGCCGGCCGAATTACACCGGGCTATTATGCGACGAGGAGATTAACAAAAGGGATTACGAAGTGCCATCGTTCGACGGCAAGAGCTACGTAAGGATGAGCCGGCTGAAAGCTTACCACAAGTTCAGCATCGAGGTGGAGTTCAAGACTTACGCCGACAATGGGATTATACTTTACAACCAACAGAAGAGCGACGGAACTGGGGATTTCGTGTCGCTGGCCATCGTCGACGGGTCTGTACCTGTTAACAACTGAACTGACCCCGGACACGGGGCACCAACGTAACCATTGTCACACATCTCGGCGAATATAGGGTGTGCCGCAGGTGTCCTGAGCAAACTGTGTTTTAATTCAATTCTAAAACAGCACAAATCTACTTTTTAACGTTATTATATTAGTTATTGATTTAACTGTTTTTAACTTACTCAGACATAGGTGGTAATATTAAAAATGCACACGCAATGAAGATGTATGTGTAGCCAATGCTCGAAGCAACAATCGATAAAATAGATAACAAATGAATGAACGTAGATGAAAAGAAAGATTGATTTTCTCGAAATGTTGATTGATTTGCTTATGGTGTTTTGGAATTCATTGCTTCAATTGGTTGGATACTTAACCATGGGATTAAAACATATATGACAAAAGACTGAGGAAAATACTTTGACTGCCACGAAGTCCGGTGACACCATGTTTTAGATAAACTTAAACAGTAATTTTCTTGGTAAAATATTGGACAAACCGAATTTTGTTCGATGTACGAAATATAAGAAAAATAACAGAGCAATTATTGTGAACAAACGAAGAGTTTTTAGTTTCTGCTTTATTAAAACAACTGTTTCGACTGCATAGAAGATTTGATGAACGTTTACTTGGCAGTCAAAGTGTTGGAAAGTATTGTAATAGAAGCATGAAATGTGAAGAATAGAAAACAAGGTTTATTCGATTTTTGTCATGATATGTACTATCGCAGTTACATTAAGTGCCTCCAAGTTACTAAAGAAATTATAATACAGCATAATAATATTAATAAATTCATAATAGAGTAATCGTATATTACTATTTATATGACAATTTAATATTATTTTTAGATATAGAAAGTGCTGATTGAGTTTATATGGAAATTTGCTGCACACCTTGTACATATAAATGCATGAAATTTACAATCCATTATGAGAATATTACAAAAATACAGAATCTAATCATTTTAACGATTGTTCATCGGTTTAATTAAATGCGAAACTAAAGTGTATAGGTGCATGATGTAAATTAAACATGTAGTCAAATTGCTTCAAAAGCTTCGTAGTTTCCGTAGTAAACATCTCTTTGTAACTTCTCTGACAGACACGTGCAGTTTCGATACAATTTGGGAAACGGTCCGGTGATTCTAACTTCTCCTGAAAGGGTCACTATGAAAACGTTCCATCGTGTGGCAGCTAAGAGGTACCACAAGGACGGTGTCCTGATTTTCAATGACGGAGAGGACGTAGCCGGTCAGAGTCAAGGGATGCTGAAGTCGTTGGACTTGAACCAGAACACGTATATCGGAAACATGCCCACAAACTTCACCAAGTAAGTGTCTTTTGTGCAGGCTGTCCTCGAATGGAAGAATGTTAGCTCAAAATTCAATAAAAATTACAATCCTGTGTAAAAAAACATTCGAACACTCATTAATGAAGCGATTTTATAAATAATATCATTTAATTTTAATTGGAAAAACTAATATTTAATTTATTCGCAATAATTGTTAAATTTGATAATTTCTTCATTTCTTCTTGGAACAACTTTTAATGTTTAAAATATAGTAATTTAAAAATAAATCCTGTTACAAGAGATTAACGCTATTAAAACGACAATAAAAATAATATAAAGATTGCACAAATCAATTTCAGTAAACATCTAGTATTTTTAACATTTCCCACAGAAATTCATTCATTCATATTCATCCTTTCAGAGTATACGACAACATTGGAACAAACCATGGGTTCCTCGGTTGTATCCGAAAACTAAAAATTAACAGAAACTTCGTAGATCTTCATGTGGGCCACGACAAGGACATTCTAGAAACCTATCGCGTAAAAGAATGTGGGGAAAATGCATGCGCAAATCTACCTTGCCAGAACGGTGCAACGTGCCAGCCGATTTTCGAGGAAGACCTGTGCGACGGTCGTGAGTGCAGAAGAATCGAGAAACGTGGGAAGAACAGAAATAAGAACGGCGTGAACATCGTTCGCTGTAAAGGATCTCATTGCACCGCGATCGACCAACGAAGGTCGAAGAAAAACGTGAACAAACGTTGCACGTCGGCTAAATGCGATTACAATTACGAGATCGATTACGAAACGAATTACGAGCACGGGAATTACGCTGTGGAGAAATACGATCCTCCAGATTACAGATGCATTTGCCCGCCGCAGTTCACTGGCAGGAACTGCGAGGAATCGCTGGATCCTTGCATCGGCGAGCCCTGCCAACATGGCGCCACCTGCGACATCCTTCCGCAAGGCGGCTACGTGTGCAAGTGTCCACCTGGACGGACGGGAGAACACTGCGAGATTCGTGAGTTGATCGATTTTTCGGGGTCAAGGAATTCAATGCGGGTATTCATTTATAGCGTTCTTGAGAAAATGAGACATTAAGTTTTCATGTATTCTATGATACAAGGATAACACTACATGATCATAAATTTTTATTTTTAATAATAAAAATAGTGAGTTATTTTTGTGCTTTAGTAGGTTTATTACTAGAGCGGGAGAGTTTGACTTACTATATTAGAAAATAATAGAAAATTAAAAAAAAATGCATTGCTTTTTTTTAATACTTCACTTCATATTTATAAAATTAACGGTAGTACCTATATAGTGTGCTATCTTTTTGTACTAGTCTGAGTATATTGAGATTCTTTGTATATCAAATAATCTTCTATTTGGCGCTATTTGAATTGTAATGAAATATTAATAGTCCGTTCGATAATAGTTTAATTATGATAATATTGAAAAAGTAATGCAGAAAATGTAGGAAAGAGAAAAAAGGAAGAATGGTTGCAAAATGTATACACATAAATGTTAGTAATTCAAACCCTTGCCCTACGATTTATTTTTCAACTGTGATCGATACAACTACATTACCATTAATAATTTATTGAAAAAAGGGACAAATTTTAGGCATATTCTATGTCTGTATCTGCACTGAAATATAATAATTGATAACAGAGGTAATATTTATCCATGGCAAATTATCTTTAAAATTTTTTCTACGAATTTGATGTATTGTTATAAGGCAATGGGTTAAAGAAACTATAATTATATTACATCAGTAACCAACTTTTGCGCCACCTTGTAGAATCTCCTTAATTCTCAGAACCTCATCGCAGTACTCTACGCTCAGCTCGCTCCAGATTTCTTAATTTCTAATGAAAGCGCGAGTACCAGGATCGCAATCATTAAACCATTGTTCCCTAGTCTTAATATTCTCCTAGACCAAATTATAATACAGAAATCGGTGTTAAACAGAAACTCACTTTTCCCAAGAAAGGGATATTAAATTAAAAACAAAATCAAAACTTTCTTACAAATTGACATAGCGTAATCTTCCCTTTATCTTATTTTTTTCACAATTTAATAAAACTTTCCCCGGGAACAACAAATTTCTATTGAATTTTAACTTTTGTATTACAACTCAATCTACAGAAATATTCAATCTCCGAAAAAGAAATCAAACAATGATGTTGCAACTAGTGTTTTCATTACAAATTAAGGAGAAAAAGAATAATAATCTGAACATACGAATGCACGAAAAAAATCAATTGAACTAAAATAATAAACTATATGTCTACATATAGTAACAAATAAAATCTATATATATTTATAAATTTATAAATAATTATAAATTCAATATGGTATGACAAAGTATTTAACAATAATTCAGTCACATTATTAATGCATGAAACTTAGGGTTCACTGATCACCGAATTCAGACGAAGAACGTCTGTCGCGCCTCGCTCGCTATTAACGTACGCAATCCCGGACTGATTGCAGTGGATGCAGAACTAACGGAATTGTTAATACCCGAAATGTCTGGGGACGGTTTCCTGGAGCTGCCGTGTCTAGACGGCGTGGCGAAAGCGTTCTCCATCGAGTTGTGGTTCCTCACGCACGCAAGTGATGGTTTACTTCTTTACAATGGCCAACTGAACAACGGCCGGGGCGATTTCATTAGTCTGAACTTGATCCACGGTAAATTGGAGTTCAGATTCAATCTTGGCAGCGGCATCGCCAATATCACTTCCCCGGACCCAGTTACCCTCGACACCTGGCATTGCGTTCGAATCAGCAGACTCGGCAGAGAAGGCGTTCTCCAATTAGACGACGGAACGGTCGCCAGAGGATTGTCCGGGAGTCCATTAACGGAGCTGAATTTGGAAATGCCGCTTTACGTCGGCGGTGTTAAGTACGTCCGAAAATTAATTACACGCTATTAGGGTCGTATATATAATGTAGATTTTATTTCGACCAATGAATCCCACTTACAATTTGTTTTGATGCTGAAACATATATTTCGTTATTAGTCACTTCTTACGAGAGAATTGGTAATCCACTGGATGATCCATGTGATTATTATATATCATAGCTCCTCTTGCACTTATATGAATAATGAACGAATCCTTTTAAACTGCTCTTATTTTGAAATTGAATTTTTACGTTTTAGTTATTATTTAAAACAATTGTGTAAATTTTAGAATAAAGTACTGTGTATTTATAAAACGTGTCAGTAAATTATTATAACAAAGTACTTACAAATCGTATTAGTGTTTGAAGATGCCAAGTGAAAAATTAAATTTGAACATTATGAAACGTTAGAATGTTGTTTGTGGTATAGTGGGAATGAATTTTATTTCAATTGCAGACACTGGCGAGAGGTTCATCGGTTAGCAGGAGTCTGGACAGGATTAGTAGGCGCAGTGCAAAGGCTGATGGTGAACGGGAAAACGTACCAGAATCTAGCAGTGAATGTTACTCAACACAACACGGAGATTTACGATGGTGCGCCGTGTCCCAGTAACGAGAATCCTTGTCACAACGGCGGAGTGTGTTTACCTCTTCTGAACAGCTATCTGTGCAAGTGTGCTAGTGGTTACAATGGCCTCCATTGCGAATTTTGTAAGTTCATCGCTTGCTCTTCTGCACAGTCTAATCAAACTGTAAAAATTGTTGTGTACAATAGAATCTTGATTAACCTGCCTAATTGAGAAGTAGACGAATAAAATAAACTGAAATCCTGTATTTAAAAAAGTAGAAAGCGATTTTTTTATTAAATAGGAAATTGCATAAATCAATATATGTTTAACTATTAATTTCATTTGATCCATATGTAGCTTTTTCCAACGTGACATTTCAGTTTTTCTTATTTTTTCATAATATCTGTCACAATATCATTATTTATTAAAATATAAAGTAAAATTTGTATTCATTTTTACTAAATATTTTTATTTCAACATTAAGTTAATTGCCATTAACGTAGTATGATTAACTAAGGTGACTAGTATTAATTTAGCATAATTAATTAAGTTAATGATAAGTAACTTACTATAATCAATTAAGTTAATCATTATTTATAATAATTAATAAACTTCCAATACAAGAGTCGCTAAGGGCTCATATATTACGCTTCTACTTTTCTAGTCATGGGCTACGATGTATCCACCGAACTAATTGAAAGACCTGTCCGTTTCAAGGGCGACAATTTCCTACAGTTCAGGCACCGCAATGGAAGAAGGTAAAGCCGCGCCGATCGTTTATCCGACATTTTTATCATACATTTCTTAGACCACCGCAGCACACCTCTCGAGGTATTCCGTATTAGGGGCACCGAGTTAGGCTGTCCGATAACATTTAGTAAAAACGGTAGAACTAACTAGATCCTTACGAACGAAATTATCACTAACCTTCTGATTGTGTAACACCAACTAGTACTAACTCGACTAACACTACCCTCGGCGAGTACTTTGAGGAGTCCTACTCCGACTACGACTTGGAGGAGGACGTCGACTACGAGTACGACAGTTACGATTACACGGAGTAAGTTTCTAGGAAGAATAGCTGTGGTGTACTCGTTGAAGGGAAGAATGTATTCCCTTTTGGCCCGTGTATCGTTTCGTGCATCGTTCTAGTTGTTTCAAAGTACAACACGCTATGATACCCTTCCAGTCTGATCGCGTAAACATTTTTCGAATCACTTTATGGAAGTATAATTCAGTACTAAAGTGATGCGGTGTTTAATTATCTTATTAAACTTTTGCAGTCATCAAAGACAATTTAACTGTTATTTAATCATAATTCACTACTTTTCTTAGAATATTTGAGAAGAATGAAAATTTTATATGATGTTAGTCGAAATTGATGAAATATGTGTCTTGTTATTTTCATGCCTGACGAAAGAACTAAAATTGACTTCTTCAAGGACACCAGCATATAGATACCAACTTATATAGTATTTATTTATAGTTACTTTTTTTCTTTATTTTGTATGAATTGTGTAAAGTGTATCTCATTATAAACAAAAATCATCTCTATTTACTCCTAGAAAATTTGCTTTCGAAGAAGTCAATGAAGACGAAACTATTAAATATATTAGTCGTATAGTAGATTAAGCAGAATCGAAGGGTAGTCAGTTATAATGTATTTCTTCGTTTCAAGTTATTGTAATGCTTGCCTGTATGTGTAACGTTCACGTCCCACGGCACAGTAGATCAGTGTTAGAAAACTGGAATGAGATATGACGATTAATAGCAAATGATATTTTAGGCGTAGAGGACAGCAATCGAACAGGTTCGAACTGAGACTACGTACAACGCATTCGGAGGGTCTGATCGCTTGGATTGGAAGGGGAAAAGTTGAACATCTTATGCTGTCGTTGCACAATGGTCAAGTGGTTCTTACGTACAAGAGCAAATCCGAGCACGTGTCTTTGAGAAGCAGGGTTTGTATTCACTTACTATAATTTTAGTTTTTATTCGATACGGTATCTCCCGAAACAATAAAATTAGTCATTTTAATCGAAACAAGAGATTATTTATAACTTCGAAAACACTCATTTTTAAACCCATGTTTGCTAGATTTAGAAAAATTGGTGAATAAAATTTTGAATGGTCTTAAACATTACAATTTATAAAATCATCAGAAACGCTGATCTTGAAAAAATTCTGAAACTATTATCTATATAATAAATCAAATATCATTACACTCACAATTAACTCTCAAATAAACACCACACTCAACCATTACTAATCAGTGAATCTCCTCGCATCATACATCAAATATTATTGTATTAAAATTTAAATAACAACCACAATCTAGCCATCATCAACGAATAGTTAGATCAAATATTATCATTAGAATACGGATTTTTATATATTCATAGGAAATTTGCAAGTGCAAAATTCCACGGAATACACACCACGCAAAAAGTATGCAAAATAGCCAAAGTGTAGTGTTTTTTATATCGTTTCTTAGAAGAAACCAAATTTTTTATCGTAATCGTAGTCTTCCATTGTATTCTCAAAAATTTGAATTTGCATACAGATCCGCAGTCTAATTAACATTTACACTTATATCTTAAGATAAAAACCTTAGCCTAGCAATCACGTCCGTGTTAAAGTCACAATCCGGGTGAAGTTTGCTGTCCGATTGCACACTTTCATTAACCTCTCCTTAAAAAATTGAAAAACATCATTAGGATCTTTCAATGACGCTCCGCTGCAATATCGTACGCTGTTTCACTCTCCATGCAATTAATCCCTTGAATCTTGTAGGCGCATATATCCGTCCAGCAAAAGTCATCGCTGTGAATTATAGGCACATACATGCGTTTTCAACCGTTTTAATCTTACACGTGCCATGGTGAAAATTATCAATGTATATGATCAATATACGGATTTCTTAGCATTATTCAGTTTGGTGAAACTGGGGAATTACTATTAAGATTTAATAACAACTTAATTAATTATATAAATTAGCATAATTCACTAATCTTCGGATAATCGAAAAAGCTATTCCGTCCACACGGAACGTTTCAGCTAGGAGTATTCAGCACTCAAAGGGTTAATGATTATGATACTGAATTGCATAATTCAAATTAGATATTAAGAGCATAAAATAAATATTAGACACTTGCTTTTCGTCGCCGTATTTACGTTATCGCCCGTATTCTGTGCACCTTTTGCACCCTCGGGTTGGCGCGGCCCTGCTAACAATCGCCAACGAGTAAACCACCTCTAAATGAAATCCTCATTTCAGGAACGAGTGGACGACGGCGTGTTCCATCACATCCGTGCGTCGAGGAGGCGGCGCGCGACGATGATACAGATCGACGACTTTACCCCGATCAAGATGTCCACAGAAGCAACGCTCTTAACCACGAACGGCAAACTGTTCGTCGGCGGAAAGCCCGGCCACCGCGGCATCAAAGGCTGCGTGTCCGACTTCGTGGTGGACAAACGACGGCTTCAGCTCGCCAGGCGGAAGATTGAGCACTGTCACGACAACGACGTATGATAACGAACCCCGCTAACGACGATCGTCAACGTGACGTCGCCCCTGCCCACGCTCGCCGACTGGACGGCGTCTTTGTCTTCGACGAGTTAGCACCAGCCTAAAAACACGAACGCTTAGAAGAACCCTTTGAGGACTCTCGCTTCTAATTCGGAGGAAGCGGGACGTATAGGAGAGAGGGAACGGGAGGAAGTTCAACGAAAGCGGGGAACAGTAGGAAAAGGGAAGCAAGATGGCTGACGGCAACGGAACCGAAGACGATGGGGGTGAACACGTGATTCCTGCCAAAGTCGTACGAAGGGAACTCCGAAGTGAACGATGAATCGTGCCATTTGGGGGAGGATATTTATTTTCGTTCGAATAAGTGTACAGACGGACGAAAGGGGAAGAAGAGAATTACGAAGAGGATTAAGCAGAACAAGAAGAGGAGGAACGTATAATAATGGAGCATCGCGTTAAATGCTACGTTCTCATCGAAGGACAATAATATATTTTTAAGGCGACGAGATTAATATACATATGGATATATATGTATGTATGTATGAATTTAACGCGTATACGTATAAAAGGGTTGGGGAAAGGGGGAGGGTGTATGGCACAAAGGGGAGCGTGGGGAAGCACAAAATGAAGAACGACGGTGTGAATGGATGAAGGTAGCAGAGTTTGAACGGGGTTTAGGAAGACTTATCGGTAATCGTTAGTCGTTACTCTGTAAGTTAATGATATATCGAAGCACCTATAAATGTTTTACGATGCCAAGACTGACTAAAAAGACGGGAGAGGAGGAGAGGACGCCGTGAGACGCGGCGCGGGCGGATGGCGGGGAGGTACTAAATAAATATCGAGGGGGTGAGAAAACAAAATAATAATAATATTAATAATAATAACATTAATAATAACAATAATAATAATAATGATGATAAAGTAAAAAAAATAACGAAGCGATAAATCGGTGTTATGTTTGAGTGTTTCCGGTAGAGAGATTTAACGATCGTGGATTAACAGAATAGAGGAAATGTATTTTAAAGGACTTGTTGATTTATGCCAGTAGAGAAGAAAATGAAACGAATAAAACGAAAAAAAATAATGAACCGTATACAGGTACACGAACACACGCGTCTATACGTACCACACGCAACAATATATACGAGGAAACAGATACACACTGTACAATGTTGTTTCTAGGCAGACAAGGCTTTTTACAAATGCGCAGAAGAATAG